TCGGTTGGGTCATTCACATTGAGAGAACAGTGCTTTCACCTGCAACTAACCTCTTTCTTCTCTTATTCTGGCAGTGGAAACAGGTCTCAGAGTGAGTGTGTGTTCACGCCCCCTTTAGGCACCTTTATACAGTTACAGTGGTGGAAAGAAACTGACTAGCAATCATTTTTAATATTTTTATTTTATTTTATTTTATTTACGTGTGCTTGGAATGTCTTGAGATCTTCCCTTGGTAGTATCAGTTTCAGAGAGGAGACTATAAAAATCAGAGGGGCTTGCGGGCTGTGTGCCACTGCCTGGCAACATTACAGGATCTTCTGCCAGCTCTTCTATCCAAAAGGGACCAAAGCTATAAAGTGGTTCCCTGCATGCTTTCCTCACTGACTCTTTGAGCATCCTCTGGCAGTATTAGAGTTTGCCTGGATTTATACTGCCAGAAGAAACAAAATAGCAGTTTTGTTTAGGGAGCAAGAACCCTCTCAGCCTCTTTCCTGAGGTAGTGAATTAGCACATAGCCTTCACTGGTGAAAACCAAATTGACTTCAAAGCAGTTGTTTGGATTCAACACCAGGCCTGCCCACAGGAGGATATTTAGAGGCCTAACTGGAGTAGCTGGTGCACCATCAATTCACATGAAACAAGCACTACAATTACATAAAATGTTTTGAACATAAACCCTTACTTAACCTTCGTAATGCCGTTTTAGATAGCTGAAAGTATTTGCAAATTTCTTTTGGCTGGACAACGAGTGTGAAAGAAAGTAAGAAACATCCAAATTACTTTTTGTTTTCCTTGACATAACAATTCAAATAAAAAACAGCATTTTCAAATGTTTGAAACTACATTTACATAAATTGAGTCATCTAAACAGAAACAAAATAGATTATCCCTACTGAATGAAATAATTAATTTTACCTGAATGGTTTATTTTTCCCTAATTCTCATTTTACAGTTATGGTTATGAAAGGGGGAAAAAAAATAATTTCAGGCTGACCCAAAATAAGTAACTCAGCCTCTCCAAGGCTAAAGAGGTCATGTGTTGTACCCTGCACCTCATCTAGTGACTCAGGCATTTTGAAAAATGTGAGCAGCTATAAAACACGAACAGGACGACAGCAATAACTTACTTCCAAGTAAGTCAAGTTCCTCAGAAGGATCAAGCCTTGCATAATGTCACTGAGATACACACAGGACAAGTTTTCTGCAGCCCAGAAAGCAAACAAACCAACCTGACTTCAGAAAAATAACAATGAGCCAGGCAAGCAGAAAAAGCAGCAAGAGCAGTGCCAGCAGTAATTTTAATCACGTTTTCCTACTGCATTTTTCACTGCTGAAATGAAAATGCAGTCTTCACCGGCTTTAACTGTGATGCTCAGCCACCCATCACAGATGACCGGTTTCTGTGGTCACCATTCCCCAACAATCAATGCCACCAGCACTGCTGTATTCATGCTTGCCCAAGGTGACAACCAATTCAGGATAGGTCTATCCACTTGCCTGGATCTGCCTGGTCTTATTTCAGTTGAATAACACAGGAGAAGAGCAGAATAGACATTTCCTATTGCAGCAAGCACCATGATAAAAAGAAAAGACAGGAAGAAAGTAAAAGGCAACCAGTTCTTTGCTTAAAAAAAAAAAAAAAAAAAAGGAAAAAAGAAAAGTGAAGAATCTGTTAGAAAGTTTATTCAGATGGCAGCCTTGGAAGCAGGTCTGCAGTGTTACTAAAAAGCAGGATGCAACTTATGCACAGCAGTCTCCAATTCATTTTTTAAACTAAACCAACTTTGCTTTTTTCCACATGCATATTTATGCAAATAAAGTGGAAAATTTAATGACACAGCTTTCCAAATGTCACATGTATACACTTTGGTGGGGTTTATATCCTTTTTCAGATCATTTTCTGAAAATATTCCTGCCTCTTACAGAGTGGAACTTAAGGATTTAAATGTTTTCTTTTCTTAAAAAGCCTGTGTTTAAGCACTTTGGTGTATCAGGGGTATTGTAAAGAACTTTATTAACAGGAATATTTGAGCAAAGAGTAAAAATAAACACAAATCGTAAAAAAGACAAAATTAATAACTTGTTGTTAAGAATAATCATGCTGAAAAGACAGCTTCAAGAGCTAGAGCCATCTCAGGCAAAATTATTACATCACCTGGGGAGTTTGCCCACCCTGTACAGTTCAGGTGTCCAACTGTGACCACTTGCTATGACTTGCCCAAAAATGAGTTCCAGCCCAGGTATTAATTATAGCAGTAATCCTAAGAGTGGCAGTGCATGATCATCAACAAAGCATATTGGAATCTGGTCATAGATTAACAATAAATAAAAGAACAAATACAGAGACACTAAATTATTTCCTTTTGCTGATTTCTCCCTTTATCAATTGATTTTGTGTGTAATTTTCAGAGCTGTTTCAACAATAAGTTTGATTACATTTTCTGAAACACTTGCTTTTTCAATCTAGTGTCGCCTGTGCCCTAAAGCCAAAAGAAGACCCACTCCTATAATGAAGCTTCAAACGAATGAGAGTTTTGGGCTGTCTGCTCAGACACAGAAGAGTAGCCATTTCTTATAAAACTAACTACAACATGGCAACAAGCAATTACCTAGCTGCACAGCAGATAAGTTACATGTGCTTACCAGGTTTTTCCAAACCTGACAAAAAGGATGCAAATACAGACAATGCTTCTGGAGATACACAGATCTCAAGTAAGCTTGTTCTCACAACCTGAAAGCTGATTCCTGTGGCTCTGGGAGGAAAAAACAAACAAACAAACCCCCAAACCAAAACTTTTTCTCTGCCCCGTGAGAAATTCACCATATTCAAGGACAGTTCTTCCAGCCAATAATGCCTTACTGCTTACAGAGACTTTGGACAAGATGAACCCGGGTTGATCAGAGGATACCAAGAAATAAAAATGTAATTGTAAGACTAGAAGGAGAAGGAAGAATAAAAGGGTAAACAGGAAATGGTTCTTAACTGTTATACGTAGAAGCAGCTCACGTTTACATGTAGCAGCTGGCATAGTCAGTTTTGGTCTACAGATCACTACTGTCATTCCTAGTTTTCCACCTAGGAACCAATTTTGTAACCAGGTAACAATTTAGAGAGAGCAGTATGAGGGAAACACTAGTTTTGCAGGTCATTTGGAAGATGGTAACAGCAGAAGGTATGACAAGGTGCTAAAATGATGGCCATAAGGATGTTAGAGACAGAAATATCAGCACAGTGCGTAAGACCTTGTTAAGAGCTCTCTGAAGACTACATCTCTGGTGATCTTCCCCTCCACAAAGAATTTAAATCAGGAAACATGCACTTAAGACCTGTTGGAGGGCAGTGATCACCTCTTTCTGACAGCATAATGAAAAGCATTCCCTTCTACACAGATCATGTGAATACCAGATGAAAAGGAACATGTTTCTTCATAAATGGCTCTAAAGATGAATTTCACAAAAAGGAGAAAGGTCAACAGTTAAAGGAGAAGAGCTTTTTAAGTTAAAGAATAAGGCTAGCACTAGGTCAGGGTAAACTGCTCGTGAAGAAGTTACCAAAAGATTTCTAACCACTCTAGAAGTGAAGGGCTCAAACTGTTCTTCCACGTGGGACAGCAAACAGCATGAAACAGCACTGCTCTCCAACATGTTTGAATCAGCCAGGGCAAGACAACGGAACTCCCCCGGGCAGAAAATACACACGAGGCCCCGTTTCAGTAGCCAGCCTGCAGGTAAGCCGTGAGGTTATTTCCCCTCTGATGGGCAGCATGGTGGTGGGAGAGGGCTTCCTCTAAGATCCTGGAAATCGACCACAGAGCAAAGACGTAGGGTGTCAGTGCATCGACTGGAGGGTTAAAGCCTCAAACCCAGGTGTTAGCGCGGCTCCCAGCTGCGCGGTGTTAAACTCAAGACAAAGACGGGACTTTCCCCAGGCTCTCGCAAAAACGCACACGAACAGCCATCTTCGCTTTATGCTAGTTTCTCTACGGCTAAAGGTGTTTTACCATAAAAGCAACATAAAAATGTCCGTGGCTTGCTGAATAGGGATCTCAGTTTCCAGTTGTCTAAAAATTGTTTTGAAGCAGAAGTGCATGAGAGAGGCAAAGAGAGCAGCCAGCGCTGCCTTTCCCGACGAGTAAGCAGTGCCGGCAACGGACTGGTTACCCGTTCCCCCTAGCCGAGGGAAGCCCGCCGTTCCGACCCGCAGCCGCTCCGGGCGGGGCAGCTCGGGGTCGCGTCTCGGCGCCGGGAAACCATTTCATTTCTCCGGTGCCGAGAGGGTAGTAGAGTCCCGCGGCAGCGCCCGAGCAGAGGTTTCTGTCGGGGCTGTCCTGGGACGCTTCCCCGGAGAGCAAGCAGGCGGAGTGGAGGGAACGGGCTATCCCAGAAAGCCTCCTTCGTCCTCCGGGAGGCCCGGGGGTGCGGCGGCAACTACAAGTCCCGGCTGCCCGGGGAGGAGCCGGAGCGCGGCTGCCGCTCGCCGTCCCTCGCCGCGGGAGCGCAGCGCAGCCCAGCGCCCGCAAGTTTTCTCGCCTTCGGAGCTGGGCAGTGGAGTGCACGGAGGGCTGCGGAGGGGAGACAGCCGGGGAGAGAAGGGGGACTGGAAAAGAGAGCCTTACAGGGGAGCCGGGCAAGCGGCTGTGGACGGGAGCCTTTCGAGGGAGACAGGGAAGGGAGTGCGGGTGAGGAAGGGAGACGGACAGGGGAGCGTACGGTGGCCTCGGAAAAGGGAGCCGGACCGGGCAGCTTTGCAAGGAACCCAAACTGCGGCGGAGAGCGGGGAAGGGCCGCCTCGTAGGGGAGAGTCCCGCTTCTCCCAGAGCAGCCGGGCAACGCGGGCACCCAGCCGGAGGATCGCAGCAGGGAAGCCGTGCCGGCGGCTGCGGGGTACCGCCCCGGCGCCGGGCGGCTCCAGCCCCGCGGGTCCGCGGTGGGCGGGCCCGGGGGCCGAACCCTCTCTACAGCCCCGGGGCGGGAGCGAGGCGGCGGCCCCATGGGCGGCGGCGGGGCTGGCTCTGCGCGGGGGCCGCCCGCCGCGGCTGATGCCGCTGCCGCTGCCGGCCGCCCGCGGGGTGGCTGAGGCGGGTGGAGGGGCTGGGGCCGGGGGAGGCGGCGGGCGGCTCCCGGCCATGTGGCGGCCAGGGGTCCGCGGGCTCCTGGGCTGGGCGTGCCTGCTGCTCCTGCCGCCCTGTGCCCTGGTGCTGGTGGCGGTGCCCGGCTCCGCGTCCCACCCGCAGCCCTGCCAGATCCTGCGGCGCATCGGGCACACCGTCAGGGTGGGGGCCACCCACCTGCAGCCCCGCTCCGCCGCTTGGCCCGTGGAGGCGGCGGGATGGAGGAGGGCGAGCGGCAGCCCCGAAGGGGTGATCGCAGCGGGGCCCCGGAGCAGTTGGCCGGGGGGCGGCGGGGAGCGGCGGCTGCCCCCCTCGCCGCGGGACGCGCTGCTGCTGGCTGTGGCGAACCTCAACAGAGTGGCCGGGCTGCTGCCCTACAACCTGTCCCTGGAGGTGGTGATGGCGATCGAGGCGGGGCTGGGCGACCTGCCCCTCTTCCCCTTCTCTTCCCCCAGTGCCTCCTGGAGCAACGACCCCCTCTCCTTCCTGCAGAGCCTCTGCCACACAGTGGTTGTGCAGGGGGTCTCCGCCATCCTTGCCTTCCCGCAAAGCCGCGGGGAGATGCTAGAGCTGGACTTCATCTCGGCGGCGCTGCGCATACCCGTCGTCAGCATCGTGCTGAGCGAGTTCCATCGGCGGAGTCCGGTAAGGCGCAGGGGAGTACGCGGGGAGGCGGGCAGGACTGCCCCCGCAATAGGGGCAGGGAGCGCGGTGTTCGCTGCGGAGGCGGCACCCGCACCCGGTTCTCTGCGGGGAAGGGTCCTCGGTCCGGCCGGTGTCTGGTTGGGACGTGGAGGACGTGGGAGCTGGGTAGCGGCCGGGATGCAGAGGGACCCTGCCCGACCCCTGCCCGGGAAGAAGCCCTCTGACTCTGGGGCCGTCGGAATCGCTTTTCTCTCCTTTCCCTCCTCCTGTATCGTCTCCCTTGTTGGCCCTTCCTCTGAGCCCTGCGGTAGAGGGGAGAAGCATCCTTTCTGTGGAAAGGAACAGCTTGGTGGCAAAAGCTAAGTAGTGAGCCTGAAGTCATACGCTGCGTTAAGTTGTAGACTTGAGAGGAGAAGCGGTGACCAAGATACATACTGGTGAGAAGCTGCTTTTCTTTTGGTCCTGCGCTTACCTTTTGGAGAAGGACATGCTTTGCAGACAAAAAAAAAAAAAAAAAAAGAAAGAAAAAAGAAAAAAAGGTTGTTATCAAAAAATTGGGAAAGAAAAAATAAAAATGTAAGGCTAAACCCAGCATTCAGGGTGTTTACTGAATTTATCACTGGTCTAAATGCTGCGCTGTCATTGTGTGTGGGCAGTGTAGGTTGTTCACCAGGTGACACTACTTGGGCAAGTTATTCACTGTAACTTGACTGCATTGAGCTCTCTAAAGCATTAGGATTTTCTTTACTTGTAGCTCATGCATTGTTGCTAGATAAGATTTTTGCTAAATCTAATTGCCTAAAATACTAGAAACTAAATTCTGACAGTATCTCTGTGTGTTAGTGTAGCTAAAATAGTAAAAACTAATGACTGTCTTAGGCACAAATAGTAGTACTATCTAACAGGAGCTAAACTTTCTGTTACACAGAGATGGCAATTGTCATGGTGTAGATCCAGCCAGTAACTCAGCACCATGCAGCAGTTCACTCACCCACCTCCATGCGGGAGGAGAATTGAAAGTATGTAAACCCTATGGGTTGAGATGAGAACAGCCCAATAACTAAAGTATAAGACAAAACTACTACTAATAATGATAACAATAATGATAAGGGAAATGAGGAGAGAATATAAAACTAAAAGGGAAAAGAAAAAAATAGCTATGATCACAAGTGATGCACAATACAGTTGCTCACCACCTGCCGACTGATATCCACCCCAACCCTAGCAGTGATCTGGGCCTTCTGGGTGACTCCCCCCAGTTTATATACTGGGCATGACATGCTGTGATATGGAATACCCCTTTGGCTACTTTGGGTCAGGTGTCCTGTCTCTGCGTCCTCCTGGCTTTCTGCCCCTCTTCACTAGCAGAGTATGAGAGACTGAAAAGTCCTTGATCAGGGTAAGCATTACTTAGCAACAGCTAAAATATTGGTGCGTTATCAGCACTGTTCTCAGACTAAAGCCAAAGCACAGCACTGCACCAGCTACTAAGAGGGAGAAAAATAACAGTTACAGCTGAACCTGGGACAACAACTTACTGTTACACACTCTGGAAAAGGTGACAATTCAGTATTTTGCAAATGTGTGGTTGATACCAGTAATCATCTTCAGGCCAAAGAACTGGAAGAAAATGCTCTAGTCTGCGTGACCCATGCAAAGGAAAACATGAATGAAATGGCAGAACCTGCCATGTAAATAGCCAGGAGAAGTAACTGTTTTGTATAAAAAGAGGTAGCTCAAGGTTACCCTCAAAATGTAATCAGAACATAAGGATTACCAATGATTTTACTTTGCAAAAGTAAATGCAAAACCCTGCCTGGATCACCATTGGACTTCTGTATTTTTCGTGTTAGATTGTTATAGAAAAGTTAGGAAAAGAAAGTCTGTGCTAGGCAGCTCTTAGTCTGTAACTGAAGGTGTATGACTGCTGTATGCTGGTCTGAAGTCTTGACAGTTTTCTCTACCTCAGCAAAATTCATGTAACTCAGGTTTCTCTAGATTTGTGCAGAAACTCAAGGGTAATCAGTGCCACTGAATGCCACGTTTGATGCAAATTGGGTGCCGGTAGCACCCAAGTTTTCACAGCTACATCTACCAGTTTTGCAACTACACTTTGCAGTTGCGATGGAGTCAGTAGGAAAAGTTCCCTGAAGACCAGATCCTAAGCCCAGCACTGTATTGCAATGCCTGTTAAAAACTGAAATATTTTCTCTTTCATCTTAGAGATGAGTCTACCTTGATGACACAAGATGTGTTAAACCCATATAGCACAGGTTAGAGCCATTGCTCCTTTCCACAAACTTCAAAGCTTTTGTTTAACTTTCAGATTGCTCTCAATGGGGGATCAATCTATCCAAATCAGGACTTTGTTTTTTAAGCAAACATTTAATTGTCATTGTCTCCAGTGACAGTGAAACCAGTGCTGGCATTGAACCTGTGCTGAAGAGAGTCCAGGTTTGGGGTTTTTTTTTTCAGATGAGCTAAAAAAAACCAAAACCAAAACCAAAAAAACTCTTCAAGGCTCTATGGATTTAAAAATCCCTCAGTCTTACTTAAAGGCCAGCAGGTAATACAAGTGTATTAGTCTCTCAAGATGGCTTGTAGAGCCTGACATCTTTCTGAACACTCTGTTTCATACCTTCACTCAATAAATACCATTTTAAGCCTAACGCTGGAGGCAGCACTCTTGACTTCAGCAGTCTTACCTCACATACTTTCCAGAGTTACAGGATTTTCAACAGCATCTTGAACCTGGGGAATCTGAGAGATACTTACCTCAGCACCCTCTGGTGTGTTACTGCCTGCTGTAGGCAAGTATTTTGTCACCTACAATCCCATGCAAGCACTGGCATAAAATGAATATGCCATGGACTTCACACCTTCCTGGTTTAATGGCCCTGGAGCTACAGACTGGCACTTTTAGAGAAAGTGAGTGTAAATGACATCTTTACAGGTGAGACAGATTTTGCTGATAAGGCCCAGCATGCAGTTTTCCAGAGAAGAGTCAGAAGAAAACTCAGTCAAGAAGAACTTCTGAGATCTAACCCTGCTTCTGAAATGTGAAGCGTCAGCCTCCCTGGGGACACCCTTCCCACTGATACTTTGCCAGAGCAATTTTCCCTCGCCCCCCAGAACTACTGCTGCATGCTTTTGGGAGCTGCCAACTGTTAGCTTTCTTCCAGGCAGACCCAAAACTTTCTTGCCCTTGAAGATCACTGCCCACTGTCTGCCATATGAGGAATATGGCAAGCATGCTAATGAACTTAACATTTGCTAGATGCCATCTCAAGCTGCTTTACCTTAGCATTCACAATTTTTGTTAGGTTTGTTTTTAATGTAGTAACATCTAACAAGTTCTCATTTTCCACATTATGTGAGGACAAAAACATACACATACAGTTTGTACTGCTGCTGAATGTTTCCATCATCACTTCATACAGAACTTTCTTATAAGCGTGTTGATTTTTGAGCAAATCTTCCCTAATGTGGCAAAAAGCAATACTTAAAAGATAAATATCCAGAATTGAAATATGTTTCAATAATGATGGCTGTTGCCTCTGTGACATTTGATGATAACACTTCAAATATGTAAGATTGAGAGGAAATCCACATTGGCACAGCTGGGCAATGATAGTCGTGTAGATACCTAGTGTGTTCGAGTGTCTTTAAAAGTATGCTTCTCATTAAATTATACTCTCCTGAAGTAAAAAAAAAAAAAAAAAACGGAAAAGGACTATAGTCTTCCTCCATGACAATTAACAATCACAAGGCAACAGCCATCACAAAGTGCGGTACTGCATTTGTTCTGTTACAAGCAACAGCTTTCGAGGGAGGCTCATTATTGTGAGTGGCAAAATGCACATGTGGCTTGGACGCTACACAGGGTAAAATGCAACATCTTTCATTTTCATATGTATATGGAATTTAATGACTAACATATACTGACAATAAATCCAGATGCTGTTATGACGTAAAAAAAAGCTGTTTACTTTTTTGAGTTTACTGTCAGCCTTGTAAATCTTCATGCTCTTGGTAAACAAAAGTAACAATTTAACACTAAAATTCAGCAAGCAAAAACCCACTGGATTTCTTCACTACTAACACAAATTCAAATTGCAGCTTTGACAGCTCGTTATTTTGGAGACAGCAACTCAAGAGCACTGATGCCATTGAGGCAGGGCTTGTCATATTACATAGGTTTGTTCTTTCATTCCAAGACTGCCAGCATCATTAATAATTTTCCCAGGGATTGTACAGGGAAAAGATCCATGCAACATGAGCCATAAATACAGTGATATCACTTCTAGTACAACAGTTCAGAGCCATGAGTCTGAGAAGGATAGCCCATAATATCCATTTTATATATGATATTATCAGAAGCACAGGGGAGATCATGTTTGCAGGAGCATTATCTGAACTTCAGAATTTAGGGAGTATTTTCAGTGAGTTTCAGATAAATCAGTACTTTTGATGTCTTTTGTCACAAAAAAGAATCTTTTCAAAGCAATGAAACAGAATAAAGTACATCTGAATAATCGGTGCCTGCATAGCTAGTCTGTGCTTTATCTGGTTTCCTGAGGAGCTGAAATTGCAGCACCACTGATTACTGCCAAGACTTCAGAGAGGGTCAAAAGAATAAATAAGTCAGAGTTTTAGGTTAAACAGTGAATTCCCTGGTGAAGTAGCAAGCTCAGCCTCAGAAGAGATGCTGTAAAAAGAAACTGACGATTAATTTTTGGTTTGCTTTTAAAGGGATTATGCTTTCTCCTTAAAACAGCTTTATAGTGTGTGTGTAGATATATATATATGTAGATAGATAGATAGATAGATTTAGATACAGATATAGGTAGATATATCTCAAACCACCGTGAGTGGGAAATTGTACATCTTTCCCTTCAGAAAACAGCCAGGAATATCACTGTGTGTATGGTGTCCCAGGGAGTAATACTGACATGCCAGACACCTGCACCAATGAGGGCAGGCAGAAATTACAGCAAGGG